TTGATAGATAAATAATTTTAAGCATATGTCAAAAATAAGTAATTAAAATGATTTTTTAAAAAATCAAATCAAATTCTATTACATTGTAAATTAATTTTATCAAATAAACTATGTGGCAATATACTGATAATGATAAAATTATAAACCTGGAATTAAATAAAAAAAAATAAAACAAACAAACAAACAAACAAAACAAAACGGGAGGGGGGGGGGAACACTTCACTTTCTCGACAAAAATGCGTGAAAAAATAACCAGTTTTGACCTAAATCATATGAAAAAATATGCTTTTTATTAAGTAAAGTTGCTGTCACGCTTTTATATCAACCCCATCTCTGCTTTTCTGCGACTACTACAAGAAAATTATAATCGCGGAATAGCGGTATAATTCGTCGCGGAAATTGTGACTTGTTTACGTCATTCCATTGCTAAATTTAACTGTCGAATTAATTGTAAACATATTTTCTTCCTTGTAAAAGACGATAAAAACTCTTCAACGGAAATCTGATCTTCTCTGTGTCTTGCTGTAACAGATCTAAGAGTTAGAGTTATCTGTTTGGGTAAGAAAGATAAGTGCAGCTTATTTTGTTTAATTGCGTGCGTGTTTCAAGACCCCCCCCCCCCAAAAAAAAAAAAAAAACAAACAAACAAACAAACAAAAAAAAAAAACAAACAAACAAAAACAAAAACAAAACAAACACACACGAAATTAAGAGACTTAAATATAGTATTCAAAAAGTATATTATCTGGGGATGAGAAAAAAAAATACTAAAAAATTGATTAATACATAGTGTAAAAAGCTTGTGCTATCATTGGAAGACATCATGGATCACTTCTGTACTTTCATATCATGCTAATAAACATTTGTACCTAAGGCTAGATTATAGGGAATTCTATTTCTCTAAGAATGTGTATATTTTTGTACTTTTATCGGGTACAAATGTCAACTTTTTACATGACCGTTTCTAAGACTTCAAAGAACTTTGAATCATATTGAGATGCATAAAAGGAAAATTATTACACGAAAACATTTCATTTCCAATCCTCATTTTGAGACTATCTTAATTTAATAATAATTTTTAGAGTTATCTCTCTTGGCTGAGGAGCGGATATCCTTAAATACTTTAGACTGAGTTTTAATCGGCATTACTCTAGATCTGTATAAAACGCATTGTGTTTGAAAAGCTCTTTTGTGCTCATCGGGAGATACTGAAAGATGTTAGTACCTTGTGGACTTATTTAGTATTTCCCAGAAATGGTGTATGTATTACGGAGCAGGATGCTATAATTTCATTGTATTGGAACAGTCCCGATTCAAACACAAATAAAGGCTTAGTATTGGACCTTAATAGGCGATCAAAGTCTTATATATGGGAAAAAAATCAGCTGATGAAAAACATCCCGGCCTGATGAGCGTTGTGACCCTTGTGCTTCTTGTTTAACAATTGAATTGAATCCTGAGTCTTATGATAATCTAAAATATATACAAAATATTTCTGTACTATAAAAACTGAATCAAAAGTGAATTTTACACGCTTCAGATTGTTTCAAGACTTAAATAAAAAAAAATCAAACACTTTATAAAAGGAATAAGATTTGTAAATAATATTATTGAATCAAAACTTTCAGTCGAATTAATATGTAGTATACATTAAGTATCATAATGGCATTTTACTGCATATGAAAATTCGACAATTAGTTAAATCTCATATACTGCACATAGCTTGGCATTACTCCCTACTGTTTCCTGCTCCAAAAAAAAAAAAAAAAAAAAAAAAAAAAAATGAACACTAGCACTTAAATTTTGTATCTGACATATCGTGCTTTAATAAGTGTCTCGACTTGGTAGTCAATTTTCAATGTGTGAAATAAAGATTTCTTTAAGATAGCAGAGTTTAACTTCATAAATTATATCTTTTTCCTTGATTAAGGAAAACTCCCACAAAAATCCTACATAAAAATTAAACCTTTTTCTTAAACATAATGCAGAAATCGAATATTCTTCAATCATATTGAGGAATTACTCTCAAATTATGATAAATGTATGTTGTCAAATGCACGTTCAGCTAGACGGACAAACATGCAGAAAATTTAATGCAAACAGACAACATTATAAACTCAGTGGATTCACATGGCGTTTCTTCATATTCATGTTTGATTTCTTTCATCCATTTTTGTTTGACAGGTATAACTGACTGTTATCCAAAGTTAGGAAGTAAAGTTAATGTACGAAATGATGGTTGGTAAACAAACATTTTGCAATTCTATATAGCTACAAAATCCCAGGATCAAAACAATACTAATGCTTGAGCATGAGTATAGAATAAAAAAAACCCATTTTTGTTATTTAAGGATGTTTGTCCCTTAGCTAGGAGCAATAACTCTTGAAATTGTCTTTGATATGCATACAACTGTAAGTATCAAAATGAAACCTGAAATTAAAATATTAAAATATAGGACAGTATGAACAACTTTATACAGTGTATTGTGCTACTTAAAGCATTCTTTTTCAATTAAGTCTTGGACCACAATATATATGTCTACAGTCCCCTGTCCTTTTCCATTTTTTTTCCGTAGTAGAACTGTATAGAAGTGTGAAGCAAGAAAAGAATTGTTTTCTATCATCTAAATTATAAAAATGGATTCTATTTAATTTAAACATATTTTCTTCCCTGTTAGAGAAGATTGACAACGGAAATTCATCTTCTCCGTGTTTTGTTAGATCTAGAATTTCCTGTTCGTTATATACATTATAGAGATTTTTCAAAATACATTGTACATGTTGCACGTAGTTAAGTACGTTTTAAGTTGATTTTTGCGTTTCCGTCCCTGTTTCAAGGAAAAACCCATAAGTATTTTAAAGGAATATATCTAAAACATCAGCATGGTTTTTATACGTCTAGATGACATACAAATATATGATACATATCAGTCAAATAAATTCTTAGAACTGAACTTAATCTTTATCTGGGTTATGTTAAACGGGTCAATCTGTTCAAAATATTTACTTGAGGGGATGGATCGAAGAATCGAAGAAAATAGATCTATGAAGATAGAAAATAAATAATTCAGCTCTGTAAAAACATGAACAAGGAAAATGACGACAACCCATATTTTTCAACCCATTTGAAAATCAGAATAGAAAGCTGTGTTTTTTTCCTTGTTTACAAGAATATAAGGGCTTATAACTTCTTTATTCCTATACCAATTTTCCTGAATGATGCATCAATGGACAGGAAATAATCAGTACTTTCTATTTTTACTACTTTCGGGGTATTTGTAAACTTAATTTTTTTTTGTCAATCATGGAGAAACAATGAATTCAAGGGTGAGGGATATAAAATTTTGTGCAAAAATGCATTGATTTTTTAAAATAAGAGAAATGGACCCGTATGAGTGCTTGATTATGATTTTGCTTGATGTATTTAAAATTATGAAAGAGAATAAAAATGGTATAAGTACATTAATAGGCTAACCGATGACTTAAAATTTGGGTGCAGTTGTGGCTAGATGGAAGCATTTTAAAAGAATTTGCATATAGAACTGTGCATGCTGTAAAATCTTTATTAATGATTGAATTTTCCTGAAATTTGGCATAATGTCACTACATAGTCTGTAGTATGACTTATGATGTTAAATGTTGTAAAATCAAGAAAATTCTTTTCATATTGGGTACATACCTCTAATTATTTTTAGAATCGGTAGGAGAAGAAAGTAGTGCAGAAAAAATTACAAGTTCTTTAATTTGCAGACCTGAGTAAAAAAAACTGTGATAAGGTATTAAACTGAGCCTCATACTTGTTGATAAGGAGTATGTTCCCTTGCAAAAAAGCTTGGCAGATGTAATTTATCAAGAAGATCAGCAGAATTATTTTATGTATTATAACACCAGTGAGAAGTCTTGAAATCCCCTACTTTCACTTTCATTTTCAGAGGTTAACGCAGACAGACGCATTTTGCCGGAAAACGAATCTGACATGCCACCTCGAGATTTTAACCAAGGAAAGACAACTTGATGTGCTTTGATTTGAGGGGTCACTCAATGCTGAACGAAAATTAGGGACATTGCTATGTGAAGAAATGTTAACATTGCCGCCTATGGGAAAACAATTAGTGGGCTGTACCCAATATGTGAAGCCTATTGGTAAGAGAAAATTCTCACAGATCTTTACTTTGTTTTGAACTCGGTGTTTACTATCATTTCCAATTGTTTAAATTTATGAAAGAAGCAAATTTTAATTTGTTTATACATATTTTGAAACAAATCGATTTGTTAATACCCCTCCCCCCCCTTTTAGGAACAGACAGCTTATGCGCATATCTCCCATTGTGTACACATGTAGCATGTAAATTAAATGTATCGATTCTATACAATTTATTAATTCCGAGCCATTAATAGATATTTAGAAAAGGAACAATTATTTTAGAAGTACATCCACCACTATTGTTTATCATTAATACACAAAAGTTCAGAAATGAGGTCGGAATCAGTATTCAGTGAAGTTCAAGGTCAAAGTGAAAGTAGAATGGCAGTAAGTTATCAACACTGCTTAGTGCAGCTATGCTACCTAATGCAGAGTCTTGCAGTATGTAGGTGATATGCATTTGTCATTTTATGAAAGAGGTAAAGAAAAAAGAGGTTTCCATGCTTTATTACAATATTTGTAAATGAAAACTTTTATTTTCATGGAATAGAATTACATGAACGAGGACATACATGTGCATTTTTTCAAAGAAGTCGGTCAGGCTACAGTTGTGTAGAAGTTAAGCAGTGTGTGTGTGAACATGCACACTAACATTTTTTTTTTTTATATTTTATTAACTGGATTACATGTATTTGTCTAATGTATAATTATTGTCAGTTACATGCTTTTTACCTGTATTATTAATTTACATGTAATTTAACAATGCTGAAACTAATCAGTGCAAATTCATAATTTTCAATTGATATCAAATTAAGGGCATCAGGGAATGTTGTAGGATTGTGTGTGTTTGATGTCTGTCTGTGAATGTTTTAGGTGCTTTTTGATGCTGATTAATTATTGCACCATTTTTTAAATTGATTTTTTTTTTAGGTTCATGGTGATACAGGTTAACTTTGAGGTTCATGCAGATGGTGTTTAAAACTATCAGTCAGGAAAAACAAACTCATTTGAACACAGCTTGAGTCTTCATATATAAAATGATGGCAGTGCTTTTAATATGTAAGTTGAATTTTCTAAAGCTTCTTTGTGTGTATGTGTGTGTGTGCGGGAGGAGGGGGGGGGGGTGTTAAAGCTTAGTAAATGTAGATTTTAAATGAATATTTGAGCAATGAAAGTGAACATCAAACTAATCTGTACATGTATGCTATATATTTTACAGCTAATATGTTTTAAAGAGAATTTCAAAACAGTTACATTCATAGTGTCGTGTACGATAAAATATTAAGATTAAAAAATATAAGAGTTGAAATTTCTTTAATATTTGTCAGTCAGAATGAGCGACTTGTAAGGAAATTCAAAACTTTCAAAGTTCTCTTTCATTTTCCTACAAATTACAAAATGGTTACCATGGAAACAAAACATTTTCTGTAGACTATTTATTTGATCTGCTCATGCAAGTATTTTTGTTATTTTATAGTTATAATGAATATTTTAGTTCTAATTTCAACTTTAATTAAAAGTACGGGAAAAGTAACACTACATGTGTAATAAGCAATCCATTATTATGATGTCATTATGACGTCATAGATGAGTGACCTTGCATTGGCGTAAAAATTGCTTTGAAACAGATGAATGTTTACAAGAATATAAGGGCTTATAACTTCTTTATTCCTATACCAATTTTCCTGAATGATGCATCAATGGACAGGAAATAATCAGTACTTTCTATTTTTACTACTTTCGGGGTATTTGTAAACTTAATTTTTTTTTGTCAATCATGGAGAAACAATGAATTCAAGGGTGAGGGATATAAAATTTTGTGCAAAAATGCATTGATTTTTTAAAATAAGAGAAATGGACCCGTATGAGTGCTTGATTATGATTTTGCTTGATGTATTTAAAATTATGAAAGAGAATAAAAATGGTATAAGTACATTAATAGGCTAACCGATGACTTAAAATTTGGGTGCAGTTGTGGCTAGATGGAAGCATTTTAAAAGAATTTGCATATAGAACTGTGCATGCTGTAAAATCTTTATTAATGATTGAATTTTCCTGAAATTTGGCATAATGTCACTACATAGTCTGTAGTATGACTTATGATGTTAAATGTTGTAAAATCAAGAAAATTCTTTTCATATTGGGTACATACCTCTAATTATTTTTAGAATCGGTAGGAGAAGAAAGTAGTGCAGAAAAAATTACAAGTTCTTTAATTTGCAGACCTGAGTAAAAAAAACTGTGATAAGGTATTAAACTGAGCCTCATACTTGTTGATAAGGAGTATGTTCCCTTGCAAAAAAGCTTGGCAGATGTAATTTATCAAGAAGATCAGCAGAATTATTTTATGTATTATAACACCAGTGAGAAGTCTTGAAATCCCCTACTTTCACTTTCATTTTCAGAGGTTAACGCAGACAGACGCATTTTGCCGGAAAACGAATCTGACATGCCACCTCGAGATTTTAACCAAGGAAAGACAACTTGATGTGCTTTGATTTGAGGGGTCACTCAATGCTGAACGAAAATTAGGGACATTGCTATGTGAAGAAATGTTAACATTGCCGCCTATGGGAAAACAATTAGTGGGCTGTACCCAATATGTGAAGCCTATTGGTAAGAGAAAATTCTCACAGATCTTTACTTTGTTTTGAACTCGGTGTTTACTATCATTTCCAATTGTTTAAATTTATGAAAGAAGCAAATTTTAATTTGTTTATACATATTTTGAAACAAATCGATTTGTTAATACCCCTCCCCCCCCTTTTAGGAACAGACAGCTTATGCGCATATCTCCCATTGTGTACACATGTAGCATGTAAATTAAATGTATCGATTCTATACAATTTATTAATTCCGAGCCATTAATAGATATTTAGAAAAGGAACAATTATTTTAGAAGTACATCCACCACTATTGTTTATCATCAATACACAAAAGTTCAGAAATGAGGTCGGAATCAGTATTCAGTGAAGTTCAAGGTCAAAGTGAAAGTAGAATGGCAGTAAGTTATCAACACTGCTTAGTGCAGCTATGCTACCTAATGCAGAGTCTTGCAGTATGTAGGTGATATGCATTTGTCATTTTATGAAAGAGGTAAAGAAAAAAGAGGTTTCCATGCTTTATTACAATATTTGTAAATGAAAACTTTTATTTTCATGGAATAGAATTACATGAACGAGGACATACATGTGCATTTTTTCAAAGAAGTCGGTCAGGCTACAGTTGTGTAGAAGTTAAGCAGTGTGTGTGTGAACATGCACACTAACATTTTTTTTTTTTATATTTTATTAACTGGATTACATGTATTTGTCTAATGTATAATTATTGTCAGTTACATGCTTTTTACCTGTATTATTAATTTACATGTAATTTAACAATGCTGAAACTAATCAGTGCAAATTCATAATTTTCAATTGATATCAAATTAAGGGCATCAGGGAATGTTGTAGGATTGTGTGTGTTTGATGTCTGTCTGTGAATGTTTTAGGTGCTTTTTGATGCTGATTAATTATTGCACCATTTTTTAAATTGATTTTTTTTTTAGGTTCATGGTGATACAGGTTAACTTTGAGGTTCATGCAGATGGTGTTTAAAACTATCAGTCAGGAAAAACAAACTCATTTGAACACAGCTTGAGTCTTCATATATAAAATGATGGCAGTGCTTTTAATATGTAAGTTGAATTTTCTAAAGCTTCTTTGTGTGTATGTGTGTGTGTGCGGGAGGAGGGGGGGGGGGTGTTAAAGCTTAGTAAATGTAGATTTTAAATGAATATTTGAGCAATGAAAGTGAACATCAAACTAATCTGTACATGTATGCTATATATTTTACAGCTAATATGTTTTAAAGAGAATTTCAAAACAGTTACATTCATAGTGTCGTGTACGATAAAATATTAAGATTAAAAAATATAAGAGTTGAAATTTCTTTAATATTTGTCAGTCAGAATGAGCGACTTGTAAGGAAATTCAAAACTTTCAAAGTTCTCTTTCATTTTCCTACAAATTACAAAATGGTTACCATGGAAACAAAACATTTTCTGTAGACTATTTATTTGATCTGCTCATGCAAGTATTTTTGTTATTTTATAGTTATAATGAATATTTTAGTTCTAATTTCAACTTTAATTAAAAGTACGGGAAAAGTAACACTACATGTGTAATAAGCAATCCATTATTATGATGTCATTATGACGTCATAGATGAGTGACCTTGCATTGGCGTAAAAATTGCTTTGAAACAGATGAATGTTTACAAGAATATAAGGGCTTATAACTTCTTTATTCCTATACCAATTTTCCTGAATGATGCATCAATGGACAGGAAATAATCAGTACTTTCTATTTTTACTACTTTCGGGGTATTTGTAAACTTAATTTTTTTTTGTCAATCATGGAGAAACAATGAATTCAAGGGTGAGGGATATAAAATTTTGTGCAAAAATGCATTGATTTTTTAAAATAAGAGAAATGGACCCGTATGAGTGCTTGATTATGATTTTGCTTGATGTATTTAAAATTATGAAAGAGAATAAAAATGGTATAAGTACATTAATAGGCTAACCGATGACTTAAAATTTGGGTGCAGTTGTGGCTAGATGGAAGCATTTTAAAAGAATTTGCATATAGAACTGTGCATGCTGTAAAATCTTTATTAATGATTGAATTTTCCTGAAATTTGGCATAATGTCACTACATAGTCTGTAGTATGACTTATGATGTTAAATGTTGTAAAATCAAGAAAATTCTTTTCATATTGGGTACATACCTCTAATTATTTTTAGAATCGGTAGGAGAAGAAAGTAGTGCAGAAAAAATTACAAGTTCTTTAATTTGCAGACCTGAGTAAAAAAAACTGTGATAAGGTATTAAACTGAGCCTCATACTTGTTGATAAGGAGTATGTTCCCTTGCAAAAAAGCTTGGCAGATGTAATTTATCAAGAAGATCAGCAGAATTATTTTATGTATTATAACACCAGTGAGAAGTCTTGAAATCCCCTACTTTCACTTTCATTTTCAGAGGTTAACGCAGACAGACGCATTTTGCCGGAAAACGAATCTGACATGCCACCTCGAGATTTTAACCAAGGAAAGACAACTTGATGTGCTTTGATTTGAGGGGTCACTCAATGCTGAACGAAAATTAGGGACATTGCTATGTGAAGAAATGTTAACATTGCCGCCTATGGGAAAACAATTAGTGGGCTGTACCCAATATGTGAAGCCTATTGGTAAGAGAAAATTCTCACAGATCTTTACTTTGTTTTGAACTCGGTGTTTACTATCATTTCCAATTGTTTAAATTTATGAAAGAAGCAAATTTTAATTTGTTTATACATATTTTGAAACAAATCGATTTGTTAATACCCCTCCCCCCCCTTTTAGGAACAGACAGCTTATGCGCATATCTCCCATTGTGTACACATGTAGCATGTAAATTAAATGTATCGATTCTATACAATTTATTAATTCCGAGCCATTAATAGATATTTAGAAAAGGAACAATTATTTTAGAAGTACATCCACCACTATTGTTTATCATCAATACACAAAAGTTCAGAAATGAGGTCGGAATCAGTATTCAGTGAAGTTCAAGGTCAAAGTGAAAGTAGAATGGCAGTAAGTTATCAACACTGCTTAGTGCAGCTATGCTACCTAATGCAGAGTCTTGCAGTATGTAGGTGATATGCATTTGTCATTTTATGAAAGAGGTAAAGAAAAAAGAGGTTTCCATGCTTTATTACAATATTTGTAAATGAAAACTTTTATTTTCATGGAATAGAATTACATGAACGAGGACATACATGTGCATTTTTTCAAAGAAGTCGGTCAGGCTACAGTTGTGTAGAAGTTAAGCAGTGTGTGTGTGAACATGCACACTAACATTTTTTTTTTTTATATTTTATTAACTGGATTACATGTATTTGTCTAATGTATAATTATTGTCAGTTACATGCTTTTTACCTGTATTATTAATTTACATGTAATTTAACAATGCTGAAACTAATCAGTGCAAATTCATAATTTTCAATTGATATCAAATTAAGGGCATCAGGGAATGTTGTAGGATTGTGTGTGTTTGATGTCTGTCTGTGAATGTTTTAGGTGCTTTTTGATGCTGATTAATTATTGCACCATTTTTTAAATTGATTTTTTTTTTAGGTTCATGGTGATACAGGTTAACTTTGAGGTTCATGCAGATGGTGTTTAAAACTATCAGTCAGGAAAAACAAACTCATTTGAACACAGCTTGAGTCTTCATATATAAAATGATGGCAGTGCTTTTAATATGTAAGTTGAATTTTCTAAAGCTTCTTTGTGTGTATGTGTGTGTGTGCGGGAGGAGGGGGGGGGGGTGTTAAAGCTTAGTAAATGTAGATTTTAAATGAATATTTGAGCAATGAAAGTGAACATCAAACTAATCTGTACATGTATGCTATATATTTTACAGCTAATATGTTTTAAAGAGAATTTCAAAACAGTTACATTCATAGTGTCGTGTACGATAAAATATTAAGATTAAAAAATATAAGAGTTGAAATTTCTTTAATATTTGTCAGTCAGAATGAGCGACTTGTAAGGAAATTCAAAACTTTCAAAGTTCTCTTTCATTTTCCTACAAATTACAAAATGGTTACCATGGAAACAAAACATTTTCTGTAGACTATTTATTTGATCTGCTCATGCAAGTATTTTTGTTATTTTATAGTTATAATGAATATTTTAGTTCTAATTTCAACTTTAATTAAAAGTACGGGAAAAGTAACACTACATGTGTAATAAGCAATCCATTATTATGATGTCATTATGACGTCATAGATGAGTGACCTTGCATTGGCGTAAAAATTGCTTTGAAACAGATGAATGTTTACAAGAATATAAGGGCTTATAACTTCTTTATTCCTATACCAATTTTCCTGAATGATGCATCAATGGACAGGAAATAATCAGTACTTTCTATTTTTACTACTTTCGGGGTATTTGTAAACTTAATTTTTTTTTGTCAATCATGGAGAAACAATGAATTCAAGGGTGAGGGATATAAAATTTTGTGCAAAAATGCATTGATTTTTTAAAATAAGAGAAATGGACCCGTATGAGTGCTTGATTATGATTTTGCTTGATGTATTTAAAATTATGAAAGAGAATAAAAATGGTATAAGTACATTAATAGGCTAACCGATGACTTAAAATTTGGGTGCAGTTGTGGCTAGATGGAAGCATTTTAAAAGAATTTGCATATAGAACTGTGCATGCTGTAAAATCTTTATTAATGATTGAATTTTCCTGAAATTTGGCATAATGTCACTACATAGTCTGTAGTATGACTTATGATGTTAAATGTTGTAAAATCAAGAAAATTCTTTTCATATTGGGTACATACCTCTAATTATTTTTAGAATCGGTAGGAGAAGAAAGTAGTGCAGAAAAAATTACAAGTTCTTTAATTTGCAGACCTGAGTAAAAAAAACTGTGATAAGGTATTAAACTGAGCCTCATACTTGTTGATAAGGAGTATGTTCCCTTGCAAAAAAGCTTGGCAGATGTAATTTATCAAGAAGATCAGCAGAATTATTTTATGTATTATAACACCAGTGAGAAGTCTTGAAATCCCCTACTTTCACTTTCATTTTCAGAGGTTAACGCAGACAGACGCATTTTGCCGGAAAACGAATCTGACATGCCACCTCGAGATTTTAACCAAGGAAAGACAACTTGATGTGCTTTGATTTGAGGGGTCACTCAATGCTGAACGAAAATTAGGGACATTGCTATGTGAAGAAATGTTAACATTGCCGCCTATGGGAAAACAATTAGTGGGCTGTACCCAATATGTGAAGCCTATTGGTAAGAGAAAATTCTCACAGATCTTTACTTTGTTTTGAACTCGGTGTTTACTATCATTTCCAATTGTTTAAATTTATGAAAGAAGCAAATTTTAATTTGTTTATACATATTTTGAAACAAATCGATTTGTTAATACCCCTCCCCCCCCTTTTAGGAACAGACAGCTTATGCGCATATCTCCCATTGTGTACACATGTAGCATGTAAATTAAATGTATCGATTCTATACAATTTATTAATTCCGAGCCATTAATAGATATTTAGAAAAGGAACAATTATTTTAGAAGTACATCCACCACTATTGTTTATCATCAATACACAAAAGTTCAGAAATGAGGTCGGAATCAGTATTCAGTGAAGTTCAAGGTCAAAGTGAAAGTAGAATGGCAGTAAGTTATCAACACTGCTTAGTGCAGCTATGCTACCTAATGCAGAGTCTTGCAGTATGTAGGTGATATGCATTTGTCATTTTATGAAAGAGGTAAAGAAAAAAGAGGTTTCCATGCTTTATTACAATATTTGTAAATGAAAACTTTTATTTTCATGGAATAGAATTACATGAACGAGGACATACATGTGCATTTTTTCAAAGAAGTCGGTCAGGCTACAGTTGTGTAGAAGTTAAGCAGTGTGTGTGTGAACATGCACACTAACATTTTTTTTTTTTATATTTTATTAACTGGATTACATGTATTTGTCTAATGTATAATTATTGTCAGTTACATGCTTTTTACCTGTATTATTAATTTACATGTAATTTAACAATGCTGAAACTAATCAGTGCAAATTCATAATTTTCAATTGATATCAAATTAAGGGCATCAGGGAATGTTGTAGGATTGTGTGTGTTTGATGTCTGTCTGTGAATGTTTTAGGTGCTTTTTGATGCTGATTAATTATTGCACCATTTTTTAAATTGATTTTTTTTTTAGGTTCATGGTGATACAGGTTAACTTTGAGGTTCATGCAGATGGTGTTTAAAACTATCAGTCAGGAAAAACAAACTCATTTGAACACAGCTTGAGTCTTCATATATAAAATGATGGCAGTGCTTTTAATATGTAAGTTGAATTTTCTAAAGCTTCTTTGTGTGTATGTGTGTGTGTGCGGGAGGAGGGGGGGGGGGTGTTAAAGCTTAGTAAATGTAGATTTTAAATGAATATTTGAGCAATGAAAGTGAACATCAAACTAATCTGTACATGTATGCTATATATTTTACAGCTAATATGTTTTAAAGAGAATTTCAAAACAGTTACATTCATAGTGTCGTGTACGATAAAATATTAAGATTAAAAAATATAAGAGTTGAAATTTCTTTAATATTTGTCAGTCAGAATGAGCGACTTGTAAGGAAATTCAAAACTTTCAAAGTTCTCTTTCATTTTCCTACAAATTACAAAATGGTTACCATGGAAACAAAACATTTTCTGTAGACTATTTATTTGATCTGCTCATGCAAGTATTTTTGTTATTTTATAGTTATAATGAATATTTTAGTTCTAATTTCAACTTTAATTAAAAGTACGGGAAAAGTAACACTACATGTGTAATAAGCAATCCATTATTATGATGTCATTATGACGTCATAGATGAGTGACCTTGCATTGGCGTAAAAATTGCTTTGAAACAGATGAATGTTTACAAGAATATAAGGGCTTATAACTTCTTTATTCCTATACCAATTTTCCTGAATGATGCATCAATGGACAGGAAATAATCAGTACTTTCTATTTTTACTACTTTCGGGGTATTTGTAAACTTAATTTTTTTTTGTCAATCATGGAGAAACAATGAATTCAAGGGTGAGGGATATAAAATTTTGTGCAAAAATGCATTGATTTTTTAAAATAAGAGAAATGGACCCGTATGAGTGCTTGATTATGATTTTGCTTGATGTATTTAAAATTATGAAAGAGAATAAAAATGGTATAAGTACATTAATAGGCTAACCGATGACTTAAAATTTGGGTGCAGTTGTGGCTAGATGGAAGCATTTTAAAAGAATTTGCATATAGAACTGTGCATGCTGTAAAATCTTTATTAATGATTGAATTTTCCTGAAATTTGGCATAATGTCACTACATAGTCTGTAGTATGACTTATGATGTTAAATGTTGTAAAATCAAGAAAATTCTTTTCATATTGGGTACATACCTCTAATTATTTTTAGAATCGGTAGGAGAAGAAAGTAGTGCAGAAAAAATTACAAGTTCTTTAATTTGCAGACCTGAGTAAAAAAAACTGTGATAAGGTATTAAACTGAGCCTCATACTTGTTGATAAGGAGTATGTTCCCTTGCAAAAAAGCTTGGCAGATGTAATTTATCAAGAAGATCAGCAGAATTATTTTATGTATTATAACACCAGTGAGAAGTCTTGAAATCCCCTACTTTCACTTTCATTTTCAGAGGTTAACGCAGACAGACGCATTTTGCCGGAAAACGAATCTGACATGCCACCTCGAGATTTTAACCAAGGAAAGACAACTTGATGTGCTTTGATTTGAGGGGTCACTCAATGCTGAACGAAAATTAGGGACATTGCTATGTGAAGAAATGTTAACATTGCCGCCTATGGGAAAACAATTAGTGGGCTGTACCCAATATGTGAAGCCTATTGGTAAGAGAAAATTCTCACAGATCTTTACTTTGTTTTGAACTCGGTGTTTACTATCATTTCCAATTGTTTAAATTTATGAAAGAAGCAAATTTTAATTTGTTTATACATATTTTGAAACAAATCGATTTGTTAATACCCCTCCCCCCCCTTTTAGGAACAGACAGCTTATGCGCATATCTCCCATTGTGTACACATGTAGCATGTAAATTAAATGTATCGATTCTATACAATTTATTAATTCCGAGCCATTAATAGATATTTAGAAAAGGAACAATTATTTTAGAAGTACATCCACCACTATTGTTTATCATCAATACACAAAAGTTCAGAAATGAGGTCGGAATCAGTATTCAGTGAAGTTCAAGGTCAAAGTGAAAGTAGAATGGCAGTAAGTTATCAACACTGCTTAGTGCAGCTATGCTACCTAATGCAGAGTCTTGCAGTATGTAGGTGATATGCATTTGTCATTTTATGAAAGAGGTAAAGAAAAAAGAGGTTTCCATGCTTTATTACAATATTTGTAAATGAAAACTTTTATTTTCATGGAATAGAATTACATGAACGAGGACATACATGTGCATTTTTTCAAAGAAGTCGGTCAGGCTACAGTTGTGTAGAAGTTAAGCAGTGTGTGTGTGAACATGCACACTAACATTTTTTTTTTTTATATTTTATTAACTGGATTACATGTATTTGTCTAATGTATAATTATTGTCAGTTACATGCTTTTTACCTGTATTATTAATTTACATGTAATTTAACAATGCTGAAACTAATCAGTGCAAATTCATAATTTTCAATTGATATCAAATTAAGGGCATCAGGGAATGTTGTAGGATTGTGTGTGTTTGATGTCTGTCTGTGAATGTTTTAGGTGCTTTTTGATGCTGATTAATTATTGCACCATTTTTTAAATTGATTTTTTTTTTAGGTTCATGGTGATACAGGTTAACTTTGAGGTTCATGCAGATGGTGTTTAAAACTATCAGTCAGGAAAAACAAACTCATTTGAACACAGCTTGAGTCTTCATATATAAAATGATGGCAGTGCTTTTAATATGTAAGTTGAATTTTCTAAAGCTTCTTTGTGTGTATGTGTGTGTGTGCGGGAGGAGGGGGGGGGGGTGTTAAAGCTTAGTAAATGTAGATTTTAAATGAATATTTGAGCAATGAAAGTGAACATCAAACTAATCTGTACATGTATGCTATATATTTTACAGCTAATATGTTTTAAAGAGAATTTCAAAACAGTTACATTCATAGTGTCGTGTACGATAAAATATTAAGATTAAAAAATATAAGAGTTGAAATTTCTTTAATATTTGTCAGTCAGAATGAGCGACTTGTAAGGAAATTCAAAACTTTCAAAGTTCTCTTTCATTTTCCTACAAATTACAAAATGGTTACCATGGAAACAAAACATTTTCTGTAGACTATTTATTTGATCTGCTCATGCAAGTATTTTTGTTATTTTATAGTTATAATGAATATTTTAGTTCTAATTTCAACTTTAATTAAAAGTACGGGAAAAGTAACACTACATGTGTAATAAGCAATCCATTATTATGATGTCATTATGACGTCATAGATGAGTGACCTTGCATTGGCGTAAAAATTGCTTTGAAACAGATGAATGTTTACAAGAATATAAGGGCTTATAACTTCTTTATTCCTATACCAATTTTCCTGAATGATGCATCAATGGACAGGAAATAATCAGTACTTTCTATTTTTACTACTTTCGGGGTATTTGTAAACTTAATTTTTTTTTGTCAATCATGGAGAAACAATGAATTCAAGGGTGAGGGATATAAAATTTTGTGCAAAAATGCATTGATTTTTTAAAATAAGAGAAATGGACCCGTATGAGTGCTTGATTATGATTTTGCTTGATGTATTTAAAATTATGAAAGAGAATAAAAATGGTATAAGTACATTAATAGGCTAACCGATGACTTAAAATTTGGGTGCAGTTGTGGCTAGATGGAAGCATTTTAAAAGAATTTGCATATAGAACTGTGCATGCTGTAAAATCTTTATTAATGATTGAATTTTCCTGAAATTTGGCATAATGTCACTACATAGTCTGTAGTATGACTTATGATGTTAAATGTTGTAAAATCAAGAAAATTCTTTTCATATTGGGTACATACCTCTAATTATTTTTAGAATCGGTAGGAGAAGAAAGTAGTGCAGAAAAAATTACAAGTTCTTTAATTTGCAGACCTGAGTAAAAAAAACTGTGATAAGGTATTAAACTGAGCCTCATACTTGTTGATAAGGAGTATGTTCCCTTGCAAAAAAGCTTGGCAGATGTAATTTATCAAGAAGATCAGCAGAATTATTTTATGTATTATAACACCAGTGAGAAGTCTTGAAATCCCCTACTTTCACTTTCATTTTCAGAGGTTAACGCAGACAGACGCATTTTGCCGGAAAACGAATCTGACATGCCACCTCGAGATTTTAACCAAGGAAAGACAACTTGATGTGCTTTGATTTGAGGGGTCACTCAATGCTGAACGAAAATTAGGGACATTGCTATGTGAAGAAATGTTAACATTGCCGCCTATGGGAAAACAATTAGTGGGCTGTACCCAATATGTGAAGCCTATTGGTAAGAGAAAATTCTCACAGATCTTTACTTTGTTTTGAACTCGGTGTTTACTATCATTTCCAATTGTTTAAATTTATGAAAGAAGCAAATTTTAATTTGTTTATACATATTTTGAAACAAATCGATTTGTTAATACCCCTCCCCCCCCTTTTAGGAACAGACAGCTTATGCGCATATCTCCCATTGTGTACACATGTAGCATGTAAATTAAATGTATCGATTCTATACAATTTATTAATTCCGAGCCATTAATAGATATTTAGAAAAGGAACAATTATTTTAGAAGTACATCCACCACTATTGTTTATCATCAATACACAAAAGTTCAGAAATGAGGTCGGAATCAGTATTCAGTGAAGTTCAAGGTCAAAGTGAAAGTAGAATGGCAGTAAGTTATCAACACTGCTTAGTGCAGCTATGCTACCTAATGCAGAGTCTTGCAGTATGTAGGTGATATGCATTTGTCATTTTATGAAAGAGGTAAAGAAAAAAGAGGTTTCCATGCTTTATTACAATATTTGTAAATGAAAACTTTTATTTTCATGGAATAGAATTACATGAACGAGGACATACATGTGCATTTTTTCAAAGAAGTCGGTCAGGCTACAGTTGTGTAGAAGTTAAGCAGTGTGTGTGTGAACATGCACACTAACATTTTTTTTTTTTATATTTTATTAACTGGATTACATGTATTTGTCTAATGTATAATTATTGTCAGTTACATGCTTTTTACCTGTATTATTAATTTACATGTAATTTAACAATGCTGAAACTAATCAGTGCAAATTCATAATTTTCAATTGATATCAAATTAAGGGCATCAGGGAATGTTGTAGGATTGTGTGTGTTTGATGTCTGTCTGTGAATGTTTTAGGTGCTTTTTGATGCTGATTAATTATTGCACCATTTTTTAAATTGATTTTTTTTTTAGGTTCATGGTGATACAGGTTAACTTTGAGGTTCATGCAGATGGTGTTTAAAACTATCAGTCAGGAAAAACAAACTCATTTGAACACAGCTTGAGTCTTCATATATAAAATGATGGCAGTGCTTTTAATATGTAAGTTGAATTTTCTAAAGCTTCTTTGTGTGTATGTGTGTGTGTGCGGGAGGAGGGGGGGGGGGTGTTAAAGCTTAGTAAATGTAGATTTTAAATGAATATTTGAGCAATGAAAGTGAACATCAAACTAATCTGTACATGTATGCTATATATTTTACAGCTAATATGTTTTAAAGAGAATTTCAAAACAGTTACATTCATAGTGTCGTGTACGATAAAATATTAAGATTAAAAAATATAAGAGTTGAAATTTCTTTAATATTTGTCAGTCAGAATGAGCGACTTGTAAGGAAATTCAAAACTTTCAAAGTTCTCTTTCATTTTCCTACAAATTACAAAATGGTTACCATGGAAACAAAACATTTTCTGTAGACTATTTATTTGATCTGCTCATGCAAGTATTTTTGTTATTTTATAGTTATAATGAATATTTTAGTTCTAATTTCAACTTTAATTAAAAGTACGGGAAAAGTAACACTACATGTGTAATAAGCAATCCATTATTATGATGTCATTATGACGTCATAGATGAGTGACCTTGCATTGGCGTAAAAATTGCTTTGAAACAGATGAATGTTTACAAGAATATAAGGGCTTATAACTTCTTTATTCCTATACCAATTTTCCTGAATGATGCATCAATGGACAGGAAATAATCAGTACTTTCTATTTTTACTACTTTCGGGGTATTTGTAAACTTAATTTTTTTTTGTCAATCATGGAGAAACAATGAATTCAAGGGTGAGGGATATAAAATTTTGTGCAAAAATGCATTGATTTTTTAAAATAAGAGAAATGGACCCGTATGAGTGCTTGATTATGATTTTGCTTGATGTATTTAAAATTATGAAAGAGAATAAAAATGGTATAAGTACATTAATAGGCTAACCGATGACTTAAAATTTGGGTGCAGTTGTGGCTAGATGGAAGCATTTTAAAAGAATTTGCATATAGAACTGTGCATGCTGTAAAATCTTTATTAATGATTGAATTTTCCTGAAATTTGGCACAATGTCACTACATAGTCTGTAGTATGACTTATGATGTTAAATGTTGTAAAATCAAGAAAATTCTTTTCATATTGGGTACATACCTCTAATTATTTTTAGAATCGGTAGGAGAAGAAAGTAGTGCAGAAAAAATTACAAGTTCTTTAATTTGCAGACCTGAGTAAAAAAAACTGTGATAAGGTATTAAACTGAGCCTCATACTTGTTGATAAGGAGTATGTTCCCTTGCAAAAAAGCTTGGCAGATGTAATTTATCAAGAAGATCAGCAGAATTATTTTATGTATTATAACACCAGTGAGAAGTCTTGAAATCCCCTACTTTCACTTTCATTTTCAGAGGTTAACGCAGACAGACGCATTTTGCCGGAAAACGAATCTGACATGCCACCTCGAGATTTTAACCAAGGAAAGACAACTTGATGTGCTTTGATTTGAGGGGTCACTCAATGCTGAACGAAAATTAGGGACATTGCTATGTGAAGAAATGTTAACATTGCCGCCTATGGGAAAACAATTAGTGGGCTGTACCCAATATGTGAAGCCTATTGGTAAGAGAAAATTCTCACAGATCTTTACTTTGTTTTGAACTCGGTGTTTACTATCATTTCCAATTGTTTAAATTTATGAAAGAAGCAAATTTTAATTTGTTTATACATATTTTGAAACAAATCGATTTGTTAATACCCCTCCCCCCCCTTTTAGGAACAGACAGCTTATGCGCATATCTCCCATTGTGTACACATGTAGCATGTAAATTAAATGTATCGATTCTATACAATTTATTAATTCCGAGCCATTAATAGATATTTAGAAAAGGAACAATTATTTTAGAAGTACATCCACCACTATTGTTTATCATCAATACACAAAAGTTCAGAAATGAGGTCGGAATCAGTATTCAGTGAAGTTCAAGGTCAAAGTGAAAGTAGAATGGCAGTAAGTTATCAACACTGCTTAGTGCAGCTATGCTACCTAATGCAGAGTCTTGCAGTATGTAGGTGATATGCATTTGTCATTTTATGAAAGAGGTAAAGAAAAAAGAGGTTTCCATGCTTTATTACAATATTTGTAAATGAAAACTTTTATTTTCATGGAATAGAATTACATGAACGAGGACATACATGTGCATTTTTTCAAAGAAGTCGGTCAGGCTACAGTTGTGTAGAAGTTAAGCAGTGTGTGTGTGAACATGCACACTAACATTTTTTTTTTTTATATTTTATTAACTGGATTACATGTATTTGTCTAATGTATAATTATTGTCAGTTACATGCTTTTTACCTGTATTATTAATTTACATGTAATTTAACAATGCTGAAACTAATCAGTGCAAATTCATAATTTTCAATTGATATCAAATTAAGGGCATCAGGGAATGTTGTAGGATTGTGTGTGTTTGATGTCTGTCTGTGAATGTTTTAGGTGCTTTTTGATGCTGATTAATTATTGCACCATTTTTTAAATTGATTTTTTTTTTAGGTTCATGGTGATACAGGTTAACTTTGAGGTTCATGCAGATGGTGTTTAAAACTATCAGTCAGGAAAAACAAACTCATTTGAACACAGCTTGAGTCTTCATATATAAAATGATGGCAGTGCTTTTAATATGTAAGTTGAATTTTCTAAAGCTTCTTTGTGTGTATGTGTGTGTGTGCGGGAGGAGGGGGGGGGGGTGTTAAAGCTTAGTAAATGTAGATTTTAAATGAATATTTGAGCAATGAAAGTGAACATCAAACTAATCTGTACATGTATGCTATATATTTTACAGCTAATATGTTTTAAAGAGAATTTCAAAACAGTTACATTCATAGTGTCGTGTACGATAAAATATTAAGATTAAAAAATATAAGAGTTGAAATTTCTTTAATATTTGTCAGTCAGAATGAGCGACTTGTAAGGAAATTCAAAACTTTCAAAGTTCTCTTTCATTTTCCTACAAATTACAAAATGGTTACCATGGAAACAAAACATTTTCTGTAGACTATTTATTTGATCTGCTCATGCAAGTATTTTTGTTATTTTATAGTTATAATGAATATTTTAGTTCTAATTTCAACTTTAATTAAAAGTACGGGAAAAGTAACACTACATGTGTAATAAGCAATCCATTATTATGATGTCATTATGACGTCATAGATGAGTGACCTTGCATTGGCGTAAAAATTGCTTTGAAACAGATGAATGTTTACAAGAATATAAGGGCTTATAACTTCTTTATTCCTATACCAATTTTCCTGAATGATGCATCAATGGACAGGAAATAATCAGTACTTTCTATTTTTACTACTTTCGGGGTATTTGTAAACTTAATTTTTTTTTGTCAATCATGGAGAAACAATGAATTCAAGGGTGAGGGATATAAAATTTTGTGCAAAAATGCATTGATTTTTTAAAATAAGAGAAATGGACCCGTATGAGTGCTTGATTATGATTTTGCTTGATGTATTTAAAATTATGAAAGAGAATAAAAATGGTATAAGTACATTAATAGGCTAACCGATGACTTAAAATTTGGGTGCAGTTGTGGCTAGATGGAAGCATTTTAAAAGAATTTGCATATAGAACTGTGCATGCTGTAAAATCTTTATTAATGATTGAATTTTCCTGAAATTTGGCATAATGTCACTACATAGTCTGTAGTATGACTTATGATGTTAAATGTTGTAAAATCAAGAAAATTCTTTTCATATTGGGTACATACCTCTAATTATTTTTAGAATCGGTAGGAGAAGAAAGTAGTGCAGAAAAAATTACAAGTTCTTTAATTTGCAGACCTGAGTAAAAAAAACTGTGATAAGGTATTAAACTGAGCCTCATACTTGTTGATAAGGAGTATGTTCCCTTGCAAAAAAGCTTGGCAGATGTAATTTATCAAGAAGATCAGCAGAATTATTTTATGTATTATAACACCAGTGAGAAGTCTTGAAATCCCCTACTTTCACTTTCATTTTCAGAGGTTAACGCAGACAGACGCATTTTGCCGGAAAACGAATCTGACATGCCACCTCGAGATTTTAACCAAGGAAAGACAACTTGATGTGCTTTGATTTGAGGGGTCACTCAATGCTGAACGAAAATTAGGGACATTGCTATGTGAAGAAATGTTAACATTGCCGCCTATGGGAAAACAATTAGTGGGCTGTACCCAATATGTGAAGCCTATTGGTAAGAGAAAATTCTCACAGATCTTTACTTTGTTTTGAACTCGGTGTTTACTATCATTTCCAATTGTTTAAATTTATGAAAGAAGCAAATTTTAATTTGTTTATACATATTTTGAAACAAATCGATTTGTTAATACCCCTCCCCCCCCTTTTAGGAACAGACAGCTTATGCGCATATCTCCCATTGTGTACACATGTAGCATGTAAATTAAATGTATCGATTCTATACAATTTATTAATTCCGAGCCATTAATAGATATTTAGAAAAGGAACAATTATTTTAGAAGTACATCCACCACTATTGTTTATCATCAATACACAAAAGTTCAGAAATGAGGTCGGAATCAGTATTCAGTGAAGTTCAAGGTCAAAGTGAAAGTAGAATGGCAGTAAGTTATCAACACTGCTTAGTGCAGCTATGCTACCTAATGCAGAGTCTTGCAGTATGTAGGTGATATGCATTTGTCATTTTATGAAAGAGGTAAAGAAAAAAGAGGTTTCCATGCTTTATTACAATATTTGTAAATGAAAACTTTTATTTTCATGGAATAGAATTACATGAACGAGGACATACATGTGCATTTTTTCAAAGAAGTCGGTCAGGCTACAGTTGTGTAGAAGTTAAGCAGTGTGTGTGTGAACATGCACACTAACATTTTTTTTTTTTATATTTTATTAACTGGATTACATGTATTTGTCTAATGTATAATTATTGTCAGTTACATGCTTTTTACCTGTATTATTAATTTACATGTAATTTAACAATGCTGAAACTAATCAGTGCAAATTCATAATTTTCAATTGATATCAAATTAAGGGCATCAGGGAATGTTGTAGGATTGTGTGTGTTTGATGTCTGTCTGTGAATGTTTTAGGTGCTTTTTGATGCTGATTAATTATTGCACCATTTTTTAAATTGATTTTTTTTTTAGGTTCATGGTGATACAGGTTAACTTTGAGGTTCATGCAGATGGTGTTTAAAACTATCAGTCAGGAAAAACAAACTCATTTGAACACAGCTTGAGTCTTCATATATAAAATGATGGCAGTGCTTTTAATATGTAAGTTGAATTTTCTAAAGCTTCTTTGTGTGTATGTGTGTGTGTGCGGGAGGAGGGGGGGGGGGTGTTAAAGCTTAGTAAATGTAGATTTTAAATGAATATTTGAGCAATGAAAGTGAACATCAAACTAATCTGTACATGTATGCTATATATTTTACAGCTAATATGTTTTAAAGAGAATTTCAAAACAGTTACATTCATAGTGTCGTGTACGATAAAATATTAAGATTAAAAAATATAAGAGTTGAAATTTCTTTAATATTTGTCAGTCAGAATGAGCGACTTGTAAGGAAATTCAAAACTTTCAAAGTTCTCTTTCATTTTCCTACAAATTACAAAATGGTTACCATGGAAACAAAACATTTTCTGTAGACTATTTATTTGATCTGCTCATGCAAGTATTTTTGTTATTTTATAGTTATAATGAATATTTTAGTTCTAATTTCAACTTTAATTAAAAGTACGGGAAAAGTAACACTACATGTGTAATAAGCAATCCATTATTATGATGTCATTATGACGTCATAGATGAGTGACCTTGCATTGGCGTAAAAATTGCTTTGAAACAGATGAATGTTTACAAGAATATAAGGGCTTATAACTTCTTTATTCCTATACCAATTTTCCTGAATGATGCATCAATGGACAGGAAATAATCAGTACTTTCTATTTTTACTACTTTCGGGGTATTTGTAAACTTAATTTTTTTTTGTCAATCATGGAGAAACAATGAATTCAAGGGTGAGGGATATAAAATTTTGTGCAAAAATGCATTGATTTTTTAAAATAAGAGAAATGGACCCGTATGAGTGCTTGATTATGATTTTGCTTGATGTATTTAAAATTATGAAAGAGAATAAAAATGGTATAAGTACATTAATAGGCTAACCGATGACTTAAAATTTGGGTGCAGTTGTGGCTAGATGGAAGCATTTTAAAAGAATTTGCATATAGAACTGTGCATGCTGTAAAATCTTTATTAATGATTGAATTTTCCTGAAATTTGGCATAATGTCACTACATAGTCTGTAGTATGACTTATGATGTTAAATGTTGTAAAATCAAGAAAATTCTTTTCAATATGTGAAGCCTATTGGTAAGAGAAAATTCTCACAGATCTTTACTTTGTTTTGAACTCGGTGTTTACTATCATTTCCAATTGTTTAAATTTATGAAAGAAGCAAATTTTAATTTGTTTATACATATTTTGAAACAAATCGATTTGTTAATACCCCTCCCCCCCCTTTTAGGAACAGACAGCTTATGCGCATATCTCCCATTGTGTACACATGTAGCATGTAAATTAAATGTATCGATTCTATACAATTTATTAATTCCGAGCCATTAATAGATATTTAGAAAAGGAACAATTATTTTAGAAGTACATCCACCACTATTGTTTATCATCAATACACAAAAGTTCAGAAATGAGGTCGGAATCAGTATTCAGTGAAGTTCAAGGTCAAAGTGAAAGTAGAATGGCAGTAAGTTATCAACACTGCTTAGTGCAGCTATGCTACCTAATGCAGAGTCTTGCAGTATGTAGGTGATATGCATTTGTCATTTTATGAAAGAGGTAAAGAAAAAAGAGGTTTCCATGCTTTATTACAATATTTGTAAATGAAAACTTTTATTTTCATGGAATAGAATTACATGAACGAGGACATACATGTGCATTTTTTCAAAGAAGTCGGTCAGGCTACAGTTGTGTAGAAGTTAAGCAGTGTGTGTGTGAACATGCACACTAACATTTTTTTTTTTTATATTTTATTAACTGGATTACATGTATTTGTCTAATGTATAATTATTGTCAGTTACATGCTTTTTACCTGTATTATTAATTTACATGTAATTTAACAATGCTGAAACTAATCAGTGCAAATTCATAATTTTCAATTGATATCAAATTAAGGGCATCAGGGAATGTTGTAGGATTGTGTGTGTTTGATGTCTGTCTGTGAATGTTTTAGGTGCTTTTTGATGCTGATTAATTATTGCACCATTTTTTAAATTGATTTTTTTTTTAGGTTCATGGTGATACAGGTTAACTTTGAGGTTCATGCAGATGGTGTTTAAAACTATCAGTCAGGAAAAACAAACTCATTTGAACACAGCTTGAGTCTTCATATATAAAATGATGGCAGTGCTTTTAATATGTAAGTTGAATTTTCTAAAGCTTCTTTGTGTGTATGTGTGTGTGTGCGGGAGGAGGGGGGGGGGGTGTTAAAGCTTAGTAAATGTAGATTTTAAATGAATATTTGAGCAATGAAAGTGAACATCAAACTAATCTGTACATGTATGCTATATATTTTACAGCTAATATGTTTTAAAGAGAATTTCAAAACAGTTACATTCATAGTGTCGTGTACGATAAAATATTAAGATTAAAAAATATAAGAGTTGAAATTTCTTTAATATTTGTCAGTCAGAATGAGCGACTTGTAAGGAAATTCAAAACTTTCAAAGTTCTCTTTCATTTTCCTACAAATTACAAAATGGTTACCATGGAAACAAAACATTTTCTGTAGACTATTTATTTGATCTGCTCATGCAAGTATTTTTGTTATTTTATAGTTATAATGAATATTTTAGTTCTAATTTCAACTTTAATTAAAAGTACGGGAAAAGTAACACTACATGTGTAATAAGCAATCCATTATTATGATGTCATTATGACGTCATAGATGAGTGACCTTGCATTGGCGTAAAAATTGCTTTGAAACAGATGAATGTTTACAAGAATATAAGGGCTTATAACTTCTTTATTCCTATACCAATTTTCCTGAATGATGCATCAATGGACAGGAAATAATCAGTACTTTCTATTTTTACTACTTTCGGGGTATTTGTAAACTTAATTTTTTTTTGTCAATCATGGAGAAACAATGAATTCAAGGGTGAGGGATATAAAATTTTGTGCAAAAATGCATTGATTTTTTAAAATAAGAGAAATGGACCCGTATGAGTGCTTGATTATGATTTTGCTTGATGTATTTAAAATTATGAAAGAGAATAAAAATGGTATAAGTACATTAATAGGCTAACCGATGACTTAAAATTTGGGTGCAGTTGTGGCTAGATGGAAGCATTTTAAAAGAATTTGCATATAGAACTGTGCATGCTGTAAAATCTTTATTAATGATTGAATTTTCCTGAAATTTGGCATAATGTCACTACATAGTCTGTAGTATGACTTATGATGTTAAATGTTGTAAAATCAAGAAAATTCTTTTCATATTGGGTACATACCTCTAATTATTTTTAGAATCGGTAGGAGAAGAAAGTAGTGCAGAAAAAATTACAAGTTCTTTAATTTGCAGACCTGAGTAAAAAAAACTGTGATAAGGTATTAAACTGAGCCTCATACTTGTTGATAAGGAGTATGTTCCCTTGCAAAAAAGCTTGGCAGATGTAATTTATCAAGAAGATCAGCAGAATTATTTTATGTATTATAACACCAGTGAGAAGTCTTGAAATCCCCTACTTTCACTTTCATTTTCAGAGGTTAACGCAGACAGACGCATTTTGCCGGAAAACGAATCTGACATGCCACCTCGAGATTTTAACCAAGGAAAGACAACTTGATGTGCTTTGATTTGAGGGGTCACTCAATGCTGAACGAAAATTAGGGACATTGCTATGTGAAGAAATGTTAACATTGCCGCCTATGGGAAAACAATTAGTGGGCTGTACCCAATATGTGAAGCCTATTGGTAAGAGAAAATTCTCACAGATCTTTACTTTGTTTTGAACTCGGTGTTTACTATCATTTCCAATTGTTTAAATTTATGAAAGAAGCAAATTTTAATTTGTTTATACATATTTTGAAACAAATCGATTTGTTAATACCCCTCCCCCCCCTTTTAGGAACAGACAGCTTATGCGCATATCTCCCATTGTGTACACATGTAGCATGTAAATTAAATGTATCGATTCTATACAATTTATTAATTCCGAGCCATTAATAGATATTTAGAAAAGGAACAATTATTTTAGAAGTACATCCACCACTATTGTTTATCATCAATACACAAAAGTTCAGAAATGAGGTCGGAATCAGTATTCAGTGAAGTTCAAGGTCAAAGTGAAAGTAGAATGGCAGTAAGTTATCAACACTGCTTAGTGCAGCTATGCTACCTAATGCAGAGTCTTGCAGTATGTAGGTGATATGCATTTGTCATTTTATGAAAGAGGTAAAGAAAAAAGAGGTTTCCATGCTTTATTACAATATTTGTAAATGAAAACTTTTATTTTCATGGAATAGAATTACATGAACGAGGACATACATGTGCATTTTTTCAAAGAAGTCGGTCAGGCTACAGTTGTGTAGAAGTTAAGCAGTGTGTGTGTGAACATGCACACTAACATTTTTTTTTTTTATATTTTATTAACTGGATTACATGTATTTGTCTAATGTATAATTATTGTCAGTTACATGCTTTTTACCTGTATTATTAATTTACATGTAATTTAACAATGCTGAAACTAATCAGTGCAAATTCATAATTTTCAATTGATATCAAATTAAGGGCATCAGGGAATGTTGTAGGATTGTGTGTGTTTGATGTCTGTCTGTGAATGTTTTAGGTGCTTTTTGATGCTGATTAATTATTGCACCATTTTTTAAATTGATTTTTTTTTTAGGTTCATGGTGATACAGGTTAACTTTGAGGTTCATGCAGATGGTGTTTAAAACTATCAGTCAGGAAAAACAAACTCATTTGAACACAGCTTGAGTCTTCATATATAAAATGATGGCAGTGCTTTTAATATGTAAGTTGAATTTTCTAAAGCTTCTTTGTGTGTATGTGTGTGTGTGCGGGAGGAGGGGGGGGGGGTGTTAAAGCTTAGTAAATGTAGATTTTAAATGAATATTTGAGCAATGAAAGTGAACATCAAACTAATCTGTACATGTATGCTATATATTTTACAGCTAATATGTTTTAAAGAGAATTTCAAAACAGTTACATTCATAGTGTCGTGTACGATAAAATATTAAGATTAAAAAATATAAGAGTTGAAATTTCTTTAATATTTGTCAGTCAGAATGAGCGACTTGTAAGGAAATTCAAAACTTTCAAAGTTCTCTTTCATTTTCCTACAAATTACAAAATGGTTACCATGGAAACAAAACATTTTCTGTAGACTATTTATTTGATCTGCTCATGCAAGTATTTTTGTTATTTTATAGTTATAATGAATATTTTAGTTCTAATTTCAACTTTAATTAAAAGTACGGGAAAAGTAACACTACATGTGTAATAAGCAATCCATTATTATGATGTCATTATGACGTCATAGATGAGTGACCTTGCATTGGCGTAAAAATTGCTTTGAAACAGATGAATGTTTACAAGAATATAAGGGCTTATAACTTCTTTATTCCTATACCAATTTTCCTGAATGATGCATCAATGGACAGGAAATAATCAGTACTTTCTATTTTTACTACTTTCGGGGTATTTGTAAACTTAATTTTTTTTTGTCAATCATGGAGAAACAATGAATTCAAGGGTGAGGGATATAAAATTTTGTGCAAAAATGCATTGATTTTTTAAAATAAGAGAAATGGACCCGTATGAGTGCTTGATTATGATTTTGCTTGATGTATTTAAAATTATGAAAGAGAATAAAAATGGTATAAGTACATTAATAGGCTAACCGATGACTTAAAATTTGGGTGCAGTTGTGGCTAGATGGAAGCATTTTAAAAGAATTTGCATATAGAACTGTGCATGCTGTAAAATCTTTATTAATGATTGAATTTTCCTGAAATTTGGCACAATGTCACTACAT